GGGCCGCCAGGTCCTCGGGAACTCCTGGGACGTTTCCTGAACCACTCGCATCATGACAGGGCTGGACCTAAATGGTGTTCTGCTGGATTTTGGCTGCGTTTTGTTCCCAACCCTCCTTGGTTGGGTATTCGTTTTGAATAGAGCAGTGTGGTCTCCACTCCTTCCTTCCTCCTCCTCCCTCCCTGCCTCTTCCTGTCTTGCCTGCGGGGGGCTGCGATCTGTGAAACTGTCGCCATTTTCGAGGCCTGCTGGGGGGCCAGTGAGGGCGACGCGCAGATTCAAATTAGACCTCGCCATCCCTGGGGGGCGATCTGTGAAATTAGACCTTCGCCGCCATCCCTGGGGTCGGCTGAGCACAGTGAGGGCGACGCGCAGATTCAAATGAGACCTCGCCATCCCTGGGGGGCTGCGATCTGTGAAACTGTCGCCATTTTCGAGGCCTGCTGGGGGCCCAGCACAGTGAGGGCGACGCGCAGATTCAAATTAGACCTCGCCATCCCTGGGGGGCTGCGATCTGTGAAACTGTCGCCATTTTCGAGGCCTGCTGGGGGGCCCAGCACAGTGAGGGCGACGCGCAGATTCAAATTAGACCTCGCCATCCCTGGGGGGCTGCGATCTGTGAAACTGTCGCCATTTTCGAGGCCTGCTGGGGGGCCCAGCACAGTGAGGGCGACGCGCAGATTCAAATTAGACCTCGCCATCCCTGGGGGGCTGCGATCTGTGAAACTGTCGCCATTTTCGAGGCCTGCTGGGGGGCCCAGCACAGTGAGGGCCACGGCAGATTCAAATTAGACCTCGCCATCCCTGGGGGGCTGCGATCTGTGAAACTGTCGCCATTTTCGAGGCCTGCTGGGGGGCCCAGCACAGTGAGGGCCACGCGCGGATTCAAATTAGACCTCGCCATCCCTGGGGGGCTGCGATCTGTGAAACTGTCGCCATTTTCGAGGCCTGCTGGGGGGCCCAGCACAGTGAGGGCCACGGGCAGATTCAAATTAGACCTCGCCATCCCTGGGGGGCTGCGATCTGTGAAACTGTCGCCATTTTCGAGGCCTGCTGGGGGGCCCAGCACAGTGAGGGCCACGCGCGGATTCAAATTAGACCTCGCCATCCCTGGGGGGGTGCGATCTGTGAAACTGTCGCCACTTTCGAGGCCTGCTGGGGGGCCCTGCACAGTTACGCCACGGGCATATTCAAACGAGACCTCGCCATCCCTTGGGGGCTGCGATCTGTGAAACTGTCGCCACTTTCGAGGCCTGCTGGGGGGCCCAGCACAGTGACGCCACGGGCAGATTCAAATGAGACCTCGCCATCCCTGGGGGGCTGCGATCTGTGAAACTGTCGCCACTTTCGAGGCCTGCTGGGGGGCCCAGCACAGTGAGGGCCACGCGCGGACCCAAATTAGACCTCGCCATCCCTGCGGGGCTGCGATCTGTGAAACTGTCGCCACTTTCGAGGCCTGCTGTGATCCCCGTTTTCGAAGTGGCTAGGAGTGCTCAGGAATTGTAACTCATCAGCTTTATCAAGCCCTTTTCCTGTAGCCAGTGTCCTGCGAGTCTCCCGAATTCCGTCTGCAGACATATGTAACCCTCGCTCCGTCATCGCCCCTTTATAAAGTATCCTAAACTATTTGCGCCCCGCTTTTGCGCAGGGTTGGGTACGTCGCCAGGGTATTTTTTTGTTGGAGGGAGGTGCAGGACAACAGGTAGAGCAAAACGAACAACAGCACGAAAACAAAACGAAAATAACGTTTAGGTCCAGCCCTGCATCATGGCATCATTATCCTTCCAGTCTCTCCCCTGACCCTCTCGCGCCGTGAAGAAGCCTCGACGGAGGGTCGGTGGCGATTTTCTGGCTCTGGGGCCCTGGTCGGGCCCCTGCTCGGGACGGAGAGCCGGTTCCCGGGAGCGTGTCTGGACCTCTGGGGGGCCGCGCCGTGAACAAGATCGCGACGTCCGGTGTTCGGGAGGGCGCGGGAGAGAGGGAGAGGAGGAAACCGCGGATCGCGCTCCGAGCGGCGCGAAGAGTAAATCCGTGTCACCCGGAGAGGGCTCTCGCCATGATCCTAGCGTGCTATCCATCAGTTATTGGGGCAAGAGGTTAGAATGATGAAGCTAAAGGTAAAAATCATAACGATGATAATCATAATACCAATGATGATGCTGATGATGATGATGATGATGGCGGTGGTTGTTGTGGTGGTGATGTTGGTGATGATGACAATGATGATGACGATGACGACGATGATGATGATGGTGACGGTGTTGATGATGCTGATGGCCATAGCGATGATGATGATGATGATGGTGATGATGATGTTGATGATGATGCTGATGATGATGATGATGGTGATGGTGATTGTGGTGGTGGTTGTCATGGTGGTTATGGTGATGATGATGCTAATGAAAAGGATGATGGTGATGGTGATTGATGGTGGGTGATGGTGATGGTGATGTTGATGATGATGGTGCTGCTGCTGCTGATGATGCTGATGCTGATGCTGATGCGGGTGATGATTATGCTGATGATGATGTTGATGATGATGATGATGATGCTGCTGATGATGACTATGATGATGATGATGGTGATGGTGATGGTGATGCTGCTGCTGATGATGATGCTGATAATGATGATACTGAGGAACAACATACTGATGATGGTGATGGTGCTGCTGCTGCTGATGATGATGATGATGATGATGATGATGCTGATGCTGATGCTGATGCTGATACTGATGCTGCTGCTGATGCTGCTGCTGATGATGAGGTTTCCTATACTTTCCATGTTTTCTAGCTGTTTCGGGCGGATTCCAGAGACGAGGGCCGCGAGATACTTCAGAACTCTTGGAACGTATCTTGAGCCAACCGCGTCTTAAGAGGCCTCCACCTCTACGTAGTTGGGCAACTTGCCCCGATCGGCGATCGTTCGGCAAACACGCCCTGGTTAGCTACAACATGGGCGTCAGCGCGTGTGGGAAATGCGAGCAGTGGCAGCAGGCTCTGCTGCTGCTGCAGCGAATTGTGGAAGCTGAGCTGGAGCCGGATGTCGTGAGCTATAATTCTGCCATCAGCGCATGTGAGAAGGGGCAGACGTGGCAACGAGCGCTGTCGTTGTTTGTCGAGATGAGTAGAATACGATTGGACCCGAACGCCATCAGCTATCTAGTGGCCTTTGGCCCATTCTGTCACCGAGCCTGGCTCGTGTACAAAAGGTTTGTTGGAGGGCCTCTTGGAGGCCTCGTTGGGGCCTCTTGAGGGCCTTTTGACGGTCTCGGCGGCCACCTTGGGGTGCAGGACCCTTACCCATTCGTGAGGGGACCTCGAGCAGCTACGCCACGCGTCGCGGAGAGCAGCTCATGGCACACCACAGCATTGCACACGTGTAGTTGATTTGCAGACGAAGGTCGTGGCGCATGGCGTCGAGGGTTGCCAACGACGAGCGCAGCAGATGGACGTGGATGTATTTCCTTCGGCAGTGCAGGCCAGTCTTATATCCGCTTTCCACACCAACCAGCACAAACGGACAACTAAGGGACACCCAGGGGAATCAATTGCTCAAGGCGTTATCACCTGGTCGAGGCTTGAAAACGAATATACCAACAGCTGAAGCAACATACATCCACCAACGGTCACACACAGCTGTACAGCATGACCCACCCACGAGGACGCCGACGACAAGGATGCCTCCCCCTGCTTCCTCCTCCATATGTCACGCATGCGTGTATGGCCTCGCAGCACACATGCATGTTTTCCACACGCGACAGCCTATGTGAAACCACGATCTTCGCCCACATAGCCGTAGATAGGCCGTGTGATGCTATGCATCGGTGGTTCACTCGCTCGCTCTTAGGCGGCGTGATTGTGATCTCTTGGTGGCCTCTTTGGCCTCGAGGGGGCAATCTTGAAGCTCTTTGTGGCCTCTGGGGCCTTCCTGTACGCTATTGCGACCGAAACGAAGAATATGATAAGCTGTTTCAAACGCCCTGAACTGATTTTCGTTGTCACGGACTCTTCGGACTGGCCCTCAGGACCTTCCAAGGTGGCCCAAGATGCCCCCCCAAGTGAGCACCAAAGCGGTCATTTCTCCCAATCGCGCTACCCTCTACCAAGGCCTCGAGACAAGTCAATACCCACACCACAGCCGCGCTTGGTAATTCCCGTCCAGAAGTTTGTGTCCCAGATCATTTTGGGAACAGTCATGTTACATGTCTGATTGCAGAGAGATGTGAAGAACAAGAGGACATTGCACTTTCCGTGCCTCGCGACACGGTGGCGGACAATACTGGGATCACGGCGTGCAGAATGGGCAAGCAGTGGCAGCATGCATTGTTGTTGCTGTACAACATGGGGGAAATCAGGCTGGCGCGGGATACTTTCAGCTACGCTGCGGCCATCAGCGCGTGCGAGATTCAGGAGCATTGGCAGCACGCGTTGATGTTGTTAAGCGACATGGTAAGAGAGACGGTCAAGCTGGACGTTTTCAGTGCCAGCGTTGGAATCAGCGCTTGCAGTAAAGGAGGGCGGTGGCAGTGCGCCTTGTCGTTGTTGACCGACTTGTCGGACTCAAGCATAGAGCCAGACATAATTTGTTCCGGTGGTGGAATCAGTGCGTGTGGAGGCGGCGGCGAGTGGCAGCAGGCGCTATCGCTGATCGGCGCTCTAGCTGCATGGGAATTGAGGCCAGATGTCATTGCCTACAGTGCAGGAGTTAGTGCGTGCGATAAAAGCGAACAATGGCTGCATGCGCTGTCGTTGTTGAGTGGCATGCGGGAGGCAAATATGGAGACTGTGCTGTACATACCATCACATTGCTCTGCGATCAGCGCGTGTGGGAAGTGCGGGCAATGGGAGCGGGCCTTGTGGCTACTTAGAGATATGGTGGATGCCAAGATGGTGCTAGATACGGTCGCATGGAATCACGCTATCAGCGCGTGCGAGGCATGCGAACAGTGGCAGCATGTGTTATCACTGCTCGGTCGAATCGTGGAAGCTAGCTTGGAATCAGACAGCGTCAGCTACAGTTCTGCAATCAGTGCATGCGGAAAGTGTGACCAATGGCAGCGGGCACTGTCGCTGCTCAGTGAAATGGTTGCAGCAAACATGCGGCCTGATGTCTTTAGCTACAGCGCTGGGATCAGCGCTTGCGGGAAAAGCGGGGAGTGGCAGCTGGCGCTGTCCATGCTTCATGGCATGCGGGAAGCGCGATTGGAACCCGATGTCTTCTGCTGCAGTGCTGCCGTCAGCGCGTGCAGCGAGGGTGAGCACTGGCAGATGGCATTGTTATTGCTCGACCGCATGGCGGGCGCGAGTTGGGGGCCGAATGGTGTCTGCTTGAATGCCGGAATCAACGCGTGGGAAAACGGCGGGCATTGGCAGCAGGCGTTGTTGCTGCTCGGCGACATCAGGAGGCTGAAGCTGGAGCTCGGCATCGTCGGCTGCACTTCTGGGGTCAGCGCGTGTGCTCAAAGCGGACAGTGGCAGCAGAGCTTCGCTCTGCTCGGCGACGTGTTGAGTGCAGCCCTGGTGCCTAACGTCGTCACCTACGCCGTCGTGTCCCGTGCGTGCGAGGTGGTCCGGCAGTGGCGGCAGGCCCTGGCGGTGCTCAGGCAGGTCGTGGACGCCTCGCTGGGGCCAGACGCCACGTGCTGCACGAACGGGATTGGCGCGTGCAATGTGGCCGGGCGGTGGGAGACTGCATCTCGGGTGTTGCTAGAAGTGCCCCTGGCCCAAGGTGCCGCTGGGATTTCCAAGGAGGCCCCCACGACCTCCAGAGCACCCCTCACGAGGCCCAGGGGGCCCCAGGGGCTCCAAAATGGAGCGAAAAGCTGGTGGCACCTTGGGCCAGGGGCACTTCTCGCCTCACCAGAGCATCGGCGCTGCTTGGCGGGCTGATCGAGGCGGAGCTCGAGCCGTCTTCCCGGAGCTTCAACCTGGGGATGTTCGCGTGTGCGAGGTCGAGGAAGAAATTCGCCCAAATATGAACTTTCGGAGTTCCGCGCGGATTTCATGGATCGGCGCTCGGCCCTCCTGGCGGCGTCTCTGGCGCCGCCCCTGGCTCGCTCCGCGCGTCAGGGAAGGGGGTCCGGCGCTGATCGAGGAAGTCCGAGCGGGCTTGCGAAGGTTTCCGTTGATGCCGTCTCTTCTTCCTCCACGAGGGGGGGGCGCTGGCAGCACGCGCTGTCGACGCTGCGCGGCCTGCTGGACGCACGGCTGCCTCCCCCCTTCCTGCTCACCCTCCCCGGGCCTCCAAGAGGCCTCCCAAGAGGTCCCCCGCTCTAGGCCTCCTAGACGGGGTCGGAGGAGATGGGGTCGGAGGATCGCGCCGCATCGCCGATGCATCGACGATGCGGCTCGATGCGGAGCCCGATTTTCTCCACGCCGGCGTCGCCGATACATCGCCGACGTCGACGCCTCATCGCCAGTGCACCGCCGGTGCATCGCCGATGCATCGCCGATGTATCGTCGATGTATCGGCGATGCGGCGCGGTCCTCCGACCCCATCTACTCCGACCCCTTCTAGAAGGCCTCTACCAGCATGCCCAAATCATCAAATTTCCTGGGGCGTTTGGCAGGCCTTGGCGTCCTCGCCATGCCAGCTCCCCGACGCTCCCAGACGGCCCTAAAGGCCCCACGCCGCCTCCTCCTCCTCCTCCTCCTCCTCCTCCTCCTCCTCCTCCTCCTCCTCCTCCTCCTCCTCCTCCCTCCTCCTCCTCCTCCTCCTCCTCCTTCCTCCTCCTCCCCTCCTCCTCCTCTTCCTCCTCTTCCTCCTCCTCCTCCTCCCGCCTCTCCTCCTCCTCCTCCTCCTCCTCCTCCCTCCTCCTCCTCCTCCTCCTCCTCCTCCTCCTCCTCCCTCCTCCCTTCTCTCCTCCTCCTCCTCCTCCTCCTCCTCCTCCTCCTCCTCCTCCTCCTCCTCCTCCTCCTCCTCCTCCTCCTCGTACTAGGCAATCACCACGGAGGGATGCTCTGGCAGCTTTCGGCCTCCAGGGGGGACCCCTCGCTGGGCCACAGGGACTGTCGAGAGGAGGTCTGGGACGGATGGAGGACCGGTCCTCTTCGGCCACGCGCAGACGTCGGGGGCGGAAAAGAGGGGGGTGATGACTAGGGGGGGGGTGGATATCATGGCGGGGGCCATGATATTTCCCAGATCTCGTGGCGCCTCTTCTTATTTCATTGCGTCCCTGGCCCCCCCGCTGGGCCGCGCACATGCCGCCGGTCATGATTTGCACCCCCCCCTCTTGGACACCCCCCTCTTGGCCGCTCCCGAAGACGGGGGTACAGTTAAGTCGGGCGCGTCCCCCTACAGGAGCAATTAAAAAAGACTAGTGAACAAATCGCCTGGGGACGATGTTTCGACAATTGTTCGACCTATTGTAGTATTTTTGGACCATGTTTTATTTTTCGTTCAAAATCCGCCTGTAGGGGGACATGCCCGACCTGAGGGTACAGTCGGGGCGCTGAAGAAGGAACCCTTCTCGTTGGGGAGGGGCTCCTTGTTCCTTACTTGTTTCACAGTTTACCTCAGGTCTTCTCTAGGTGTTCGATGCGAAATCGAAGTTTAGCTTATGGAGAAAAAGGGGCCTCGTTCCTTATTTAGGGCTACTTGGGTCAACGCTCCAGCTTTATGGGGAGGAGGGAAGGCTTCTTATGAGCCGCTCCTCAGCAGGCGCGGGCCTCGTCTGCAGGTGCAAGGCTGGCGCCTTCTGAGAAGCAGACTCCTTCTAAGGTGATCGTTTCTTATTCATTGTTTTGCCGATCGGCGCGGGCCTTCGCACTCCCTCCTCCCCCCCCTTATGCAGTAGATCTGGGCTGTTTTTGGAGCCTGCTTCGAGCAGGTGGAGCATCCCCCATGGAATGCACGGTCGCAAACAGTCGCACTAACTAAGCAGAGGTCCAGAGCCAGACCCCCCCCCTTCCCCCACTTCCGCCCAATGTCGAAGCGCCGAATATGAAAACGCTCACAAGAAGCCTTGCCCCCTCCCCCCTACCCCTGCTCCTTCGCAGGCGTGGGCCTCGTCTACAGGTGTAAGGCTGGCGCCTTCTGAGAAGCAGCCTCCTTCTAAGGAGCCTCCCCCCCTCCTCCATACCTTGTGCGCGCCGCCAACCTCTGGAAGGGGTCGGGTAGCCATTATGTGGAAAGCAGGACGTCGGTCGTGTGGGTCGTGCCTGCCCTGCCCCCTCGTCGCCGTCTTCCCCTTTTCTCTTCCCCCCCTTTCTCGTTCTTGTGCTCCTCCACCTCCTCCCTCCTCGTGCCCCTCGTCCTCCTGCCTCGTCGTCGTCCTCGTTCTCCTCTCTGTCCTCCCTGCCTAGGCTGGAGGCGAATCACTTCACCTTCAACGCCGCGATAACCGCGTGCGCCACGGCTGGCGAGTGGCGACAGGCGGTGTTCATGCTGGGCCGGCTTCGGGAGGCAGCCTTGCAACCAGATCCGTATTTCCAGACCATGTGCTACAACCCCGCCATAGCGGCTTGCGATGGATGCGGACAGTGGCAGTTGGCGTTGGCGCTCATCAGCGAGATGCGTGAAGCAGGTTTAGAGCCTGACATCAACAGCTACACTCTCGGAGTCAACGCGTGCGAGGCAGGCGGGAACGCCGAGCATGCGTTATCGTTCCTCAGTGATGTGTTGGCAATCGGAATGGAGCCGGGCTTCCTCACCTCCAGCGTCGGGATCAGTAAGCGCATGAATTAGAAGTGCGGAAATTAGTAAATGTTCACGCTTCTGTTGAATTCGACATCTGTCGTATGAGACGTATCTTGTATCCGAATGGCCTTCGGCCAATCCCGCCATCGTGCTCGTGCTTGTAGGTCAGATGCTTTTTGGATGCCAGTCAGGGTCTCTTGGGAAGCCTCTGGGGGGCCTTGCAGTTTTGAAGCGTCTTTGGGGGCCGTTTTGGACAAATTGTGCTACCTCTTTGGGTTTCTCTTGGGGGCCTCTAGGGCGGTCTAAGGGGTCCTTGTGGGGCGGAGAGCTCGAAAAGTCAGTTTGTGTTCCCCCCCCCTTTGGGGCTTTCTTGGGGTGAGACGAGTCTTACACTTGTTGTCGTTCCTGGTGCTGGAATTTGTGTGTGTGTGTTGTGTGTGTGTGTGTGTGTGTGTGTGTGTGTGTGTGTGTGTGTGTGTGGGAGGCTACGTTTGCAGTGGCAGCAGGCAGTGCCGTCAGGCTCTGCGGGCGGAGCTCGAAGCGTGCTGCTGCGCGCGCCGGATGCGGCAGGCTAATTCGGTGGAGCGGCGCCCCCCCCTCCCCCTGACCTCCCTGGGTCCATTTCGGTCCGATCGATCCGATTCGATGCCAGCTTCAGCCAGCTTGATCCGATTCGATTCCGATTCTCGCGACCCGATTTCGGCCCGATGCTTGCGTGCCGCTGTTGTGCAGCCTGGCGCAGCCGATCTGATCCGATCTGGTTTCGATTCGGTCCGCCTCGGGGCGCGTTCGGATGGCATCCGAGGTCCCGATGCGATGCCGGTGGTTCCTGTGCCGTCGCGTCGTGAGAAGAGTCGCGAGGGAAGGTTTCTGCCATCTCCTGCTTCTCGTCGGGAGAGGAAGCATGCACACAGACACAAAGAATCGCCGATTCGCAGGAAGATATGGGAAGCTTTAGGAGGTGGTGGAGAAGGCGAGAGTCAAGAAGTTCTGAAAATATGGGGAAATCCTGGGAGTTGTGTCCATGTATGTGTGCGTCCCTGGGCCCCTGCCTCCTGCGGCCACTGCCGGGCCCCCAGGGCCGCCAGAAAGCGGCTCGGGGCGAGGAGGCGGAAACCCCAGGGATCAAGCAGTGGCGAAGCTCCTTGGCTCGCCTATAGCCCTGCCAAACAATGTTCTAAGAACCTTGTGTGGATTCCACGAAATGCTCTTCACATCGGGTTTATGTTCTAAGAACATGGTTTTCGTTCGTAGAACATTTCTGGGTTCTAAGAACACTTCGTGGTAGGACTATAGGAATGCCGGGACGGTCTGTCCCTGCTCAAAGGGAGGGGTCCAGGCCTCTGTGGAGCCACGCTGTGAGAAGCGCATGGCGTCGGACGCCTAATTAGGTCCTTGCCCTCTCCCTCCTCCTTCCCTCCTCCCTCCCTCTTCATTCCCTCCTCTTCGGTCCTCCTCCTCCTTCCCTCCTCCTTCCCTCCCTCGTCCCTCCCTCCTCCCTCCCTCTTCCCTCCCCCCCCCCCCTCCTCCCCTCCCAGTCGGTCCCTCCGCTGGGGTGTCCCTCCTCGGCCCTCGCCTCGTCCGTCTTCTCGGGCCCTCGCTCGGTCCCCTCGTCGCGCCGTGTTGGGAGCTAAAGCGCCGGATCTGACACGCGACCAACCGCGCAGGCAGCGCCAGACGTCTGGGTCCGCGTCCCCTCCCTCCCTCGTTCCTGCTCGGCTCATCCTCCGAGGCCTCTTCGAGGAGAGGTGATTCGGCGGGGCGGCCTCTTCTCTTCTTGTATCTCGTCTATGCTCTATCGATGATGAGGAGGAGGAGGAGGAGGAGGAGGAGGAGGACTTCTGCCCTGCGCTCATATGCCTTGGCTCGACGACGACGACCTCCTCGGAGCCGGAGGCGGGGCAGCGGCTTTCAGTGCCGGAGCTCGCGCACGCGCCGGCTGCGCGCACACACAGGGGGTTGGAGGCGCGAGGGGGGCGGCCTGTGAAGAGAGCCGGGTGGCTGCTCAGAAGGTGGGGGGCCCTCCTGGACTCGCTCGGAGGTTTCTCGTCGTCGTCCTCGTCCTCTTCCTCGTCCTCGTCCTCGTGCTCCTCGTCCTCGTCCTCCTCCTCCTGCTCGTCCTCGTCCTCCTCGTCCTCGACCTCCTCGGCCTCGTCGTCCTCGCCCTCGCCCTCGTCCCCCTCCTCGTGACAAGCTGGGAGGGCTCACGAGAAGGCCCCAGCCTTCCCAGAAGCCCCCCCCTCGTCTCGCCACCCCCCTGTGGTCGCCGCCAAACGGTTGAATGTCTTGGCCGCTGCAGCAGGCTTTACCAGCGTGAACCTTCGCTGCAGAGTGCTCGGCACGGTGGGATCTCTCGGCGATGAACTGCAGTGGGGGCGCGCATCAAGGCACCATCTGTTTCTCGTCAGGGTACCCTGGGTTTCTTCGCTCCTCGCGCCTCGCGGTGACTTCCCGCGGCCGTCGAAGAAGCTGCTGCGTTCGGGGTGCCCTGGGCTTCCCCCCAGTCGCACCTCTCGCGCGGGTCTTCGGGGCTGGGTTTCTTGCGAGGGTTTCTTGCGGCCGCGCCTGCACTGTAGCTATGCTGTGACAGCGACGCCGCTGCCGCTGCTTACCGATTTGGGGCAAGCGAGAGCTAATATTCAAATTACGCAGACATGTGCGTGTGGCTCGGCCACGCGAAGAGGGGGGTGGACGGAGGGGAAAGGCTTCTTAGAAGCACCCCTGCTTCTAAGATGCCTTCCCCCCTCTCCCTTCTCCCTTGTGCGCGAGGCCAAGCAACTCTCCCGCGTAATGAAAGATGCCGATCTAGAGATATTGGGGCGGGGCTGCCAGGCAGCAGCGCCCTTACGCGATGACTGTAACACGGATTCCATGCCTCATCGTGGGCGTGGCCGTCACTGCTATTCCCCGATCGCCCTCTCCAGAGTCAAGGGCTCCCTCGAGGGCGCGAAGTTATTCGCGCTTCGCGCTTCGCGGTCCTCGTTCCTTCTCCTCCTCCTCCTCGTCCTCCTATTCTCCCTTTGGGAGGGCGGCGCGAGAGCGCGAAGTTATTCGCGCTTCGCTCTTCGCGCAGCGCGAAGCGCGAAGTTGGGAGCCCTAGCAGAGTCTTTCCCAGCAGCAGGCAGCGATGGTAGGTCCGCATCGTGCCGATCGGCGGCAACCCCGCCCTCTGACGTTCCACGTGGAACGCCGCTGGCGACCCAGAATCGGGGGAGCGTAAGACCCGGGTTTGCCAGGACTCGGGTTCGCCATCGTTTTTTGACGACCGCGACTCGGATTTTGACGAGGAGGAGTTTTGTGGGATGTCTGCAGCGGGAGGCCTCGTCAAAATGCAGGCTCGGCCTCGTCATTTTTTTGACGACCTCGTCGGGGATTTCCGCGTCCCCCGTACCCGGGTCTTACGTCTCCCCGACAGAATCGATCGATGTTGAAAGAGCTGAAGTTTCGGGAACGGCTGATCGTTCAAGGTCGAACGATCCCCGCGGTGTCAGAAACCAACGCCGAGGTCGGCACGACACCATTCGGCCGTACTCTTGTGTACCCTTCCCCCCCGTGCCCTGATCTCGAAGAAACGTTCCGAGCTCCGCGTAGATCTCTTGGGACCGGTGCCGGGGCCCTCTGCGGCGCCTGCGGCGCCGCTCCGCGCGCCAGGGAGGAGTTGTCCGGCGCCAGCCCCAAGAATTCTGCTCGGGGCTCCCAAGCTTATGCTTATGCAGTTGTTTTTGTTCTGCCATCGTTATCCTCAGAGTAGGCAAAGGTACCCACACCGCTACCACTCGACTCGTTTTCTCCCTTGGGGGCCTCCTGGGCGGCCCTCGTCGCCACCGCTGGATTCGCCTCGAACTTCAGTCGGCGACTACAACGGGTATGGTTAGGCTGGGGTGTGGTTTACGATCGGCACCGTTGGGGCCTGGGGGGCACGACACAGTTCTCGTCGGGCCTCCTCGGGGCGCGGGAGAACTCTATCGAGGTCCCCGCGCGCCCCCGAGGGTGCCCCCCAGGATGTTCCCCAGGGTGCCGGTTGCAAACCACACCTTTTGCAAACCACAATCTTTGGATCGAAGAAGAAAAAACTACATAAACATAAACTTTTTGCTCCGCGCGGATTTCTTGGATCCGCGCCTGGGCCCCCTGGCGGCGCCTCCGGCGCCGCCCCTGGGAGGGGGGTCCAGCGCGAATCCAAGAAATCTGCGCGGAGCGCCAGAAGTTTATGTTTACGTGTTTTTGTTCTTCTTCCACTGGAGTCGCCGATGCTGGTCAGAACGCGCCCCGGGGGAGGTCCGGGGAGTGGCGGTAGGGGCACCTTTCAGTTGGCTGCCCCATGTACGTCCCTCGGGCCGCGCGCGCAGGCGCCTTTTTTTTTTTTTTTCCTCCGCGCCGCGTGGCGTGCGGGTGGCATCCAAAGTGGGGTTCTTGTTTTCTCTGGACACCCCGCGCAGGAACAGGAAGGAACACACACACACACCCACTCACACTCACTCACACTCTTTCATCATCAACCTCATCAGCATCATCGATGATGCTCTCTCACATGCTTAGTCACTCACATACTCATCATCATCATCACTCGCACTCTCTCACACGCTCACGAACATCATCATCATCATCATCGGCATCGGCATCATCCTCATTCAAACATCATCATCGCCACCACCACTCACAATCAATCATCATCCTCTTCACCACTCATCTTCACCACCACTCATCATCCTCATCCTCATCATCGTTGAGTAAATTGTGAGGAAGTCTCAGGCGGGAGCCCCCTCCCTATGGGGCCCGCAGATCATGTTGGTAATCCGAGCGGGTCATCGGAAACCTGTAACTGTCGTCACTTTTGGGCTCGTCAAGCCTGAAAATGGAGGAAGTCTCAGGCGGGAGCCTCGTCTGTGAGTGAATTGGGACGAAGTCTCAGGCGGGAGCTCCCTCCCTATGGGGCCCGCAGATCATGTTGGTAATCCGAGCGGGTCATCGGAAACCTGTAACTGTCGTCACTTTTGGGCTCGTCAAACCTGAATTTGGAGGAAGTCTCAGGCGGGAGCCTCGTCTGTGAGTGAATTCTATGGGGCCCGCACGTCATGTTGGTAATCCGAGCGGGTCATCGGAAACATGTAACTGTCGTCACTTTTGGGCTCGTCAAGCCTGAAAATGGAGGAAGTCTCAGGCGGGAGCCTCGTCTGTGAGTGAATTGTGAGGAAGTCTCAGGCGGGAGCTCCCTCCCTATGGGGCCCGCAGATCATGTTGGTAATCCGAGCGGGTCATCGGAACCCTGTAACTGTCGTCACTTTTGGGCTCCTCAAGCCTGAATATGGAGGAAGTCTCAGGCGGGAGCCTCGTCTGTGAGTGAACTGCGAGGAAGTCTCAGGCGGGAGCCCCCTCCCTATGGGGCCCGCAGATCATGTTGGTAATCCGAGCGGGTCAGGAATCTGGCTGCAGGTGCACGGCTTCAAGGAGTCTCCGATCTACCAGGAGGTCGCCGAGGTGCTGCGACAGGGCGCCGAAGGCGCCGACGACGACGGCCAGGCCGAGGCGCGGGCGCGGAGCTTGCTGATGTTCAGGCCCAGCGAAAGGGAGTTCACATGGCAGAGCTCGGGGGCGCACAGCGTGCGCCGCTCGGGGTTCACCCTGACGCACGCGTCCTACCTGACCTCCACGCTGTCGCAGGGCCAGACGCTGCGCAAGGGCGTCACCATCGACTGCGCGAGAGACGAGGACGCTGGCCGCACGGGCATGTCGGACGAGCAGTGGTGGCTGCACCTCTACGTCATGTTCTCCCGCGCCACGTGCATGCGGAACATGCTGATCCTGCGGCCGCCGCCGCGAGAGTTCCTGGAGTGCGGGCCGCCGGCGTCCCTGCGGAAGGCGCTCCTGGAGTTCGACAAGAGAGCGGTTTTGTCCAGGGCGGAGGCGAAGCAGCTCGCGGCAGAGCTGGGCTTCGTGCTGCCTTCCGCCTGAGCGCGGCTGCGCCTCGCTCGAAGCCCGCGGGGTGGTCCCAACGGCTTGGTCTTGCGCGCCAGCGGCTCGCGGGGTTGCCCCGACAGCCTGGCCCGCGGGGTTGCCCCAACGGCTGCGCGACGTGACCGGTAGAGAACGCGCCTGTGCTGGCCGTGGCGGCGACGGCGCCGAGGAACATCGACATGCGCGCTCATGCAACAGGAAGGGGGGGAGGTGGCGGGGCGCGGAACAAACAGGGGGGCGAGGATGGGGACAACGCAAGGAGTGGAAGGGGGGCCCGCGCCAAGGCGAGAGGAAATATACGCAGAAGAGACAGCCAGGACGCCTCACCAACCACGAGGACGACGGTGATGGCTTTTTCCAGATTCGCCTAGAGGATTCTTAAGTGGGGTTTTTCCGTCGGAGTATTTTTTTTTCCTCCGCGCCGCGTGGCGTGCGGGTGGCTGGCGTCCAGCCTGAGGTCGGGCGTGTCCCTCTACAGCAGGAGTATCAAAATATAGTCAACAATCGCACCGACGGAAGGACCCCACATGATAATCTGTTTAGCTTGTCCTTGCCCTTTTCTTCCTCGCCCTGACGGACACTCTCCTCTCGCCCGCCGTTCTGCCCTCCCGCTCGACACTTCCTCCAAATTCACTGACAGACGAGTCTCCCGCTCGACACTTCCTCCAAATTCAAGCCTGAGGAGCCCAAAAGTGACGACAGCTACAGGTTTCCGATGACCCGCTCGGATTACCAACATGAAGTGTGGGACCCATAGGGAGGAGGCTCCCGCCTGAGACTTCTTCACAATTCACTCACAGACGAGGCTCCCGCTCGATACTTCCTCCAAATTCAGGCCTGAATAACCCAAAAGTGACGACAGTTACAGGTTTCCGATGACCCGCTCGGATTACCAACATGAAGTGTGGGACCCATAGGGAGGGGGGCTCCCACCTGAGACTTCCACACAATACACTCACAGATGAGGCTCCCGCTCGACACTTCCTCCGAATTCAGGTCCGAGGAGCCCCAAAGTGACGACATTTACATGTTTCCGATGACCCGCTCGGATTACCAACATGACGTGTGGGACCCATAGGGAGGAGGCTCCCGCCTGAGACTTCCTCACAATTCACTCACAGACGAGGTTCCCGTTCGATACTTCCGTCAAATTCAGGCCTGAAGAGCCCAAAAGTGACGACAGTTACAGGTTTCCGATGACCCGTTCGGATTACCAAAATGAAGTGCGGGACCCATAGGGAGGTGGTTTCCGCCTGAGACTTCCTCAAAATTCGTTCACAGACGAGTGAGTGATGACGAAGTGATGAGTGCGTGATGATGATGATGATGATGGTGATGATGAGTGAGTGAGTGAGTGAGTGAGTGAGTGAGTGATGATGATGATGAGTGAGTCAGTGAGTGAGTGATCGAGTGATGATGATGGTGATGATTATGATGAGTGATCGTGCGATGCGGATGATGATGATGGTGATGATGATGATGATGATGATGATGATGGTGAGTGGGGAGTGATGGTGATGGTGATGATGAGGAGGAGGAGGAGGAGGAAGCAAGGAGGAGGAGAGGAGAGGGAGGAGGAGGAGGAGGCTATCCTGCGCGGAGGGTGTGCAGAGACAATGAGTGAATGAGTGATGATTAGAAATAGGGATTCAGTGTGTGAGTGCGATGCTGATGGTGATCATGAAAGCGTATGAGTGTGTGGTTGATGAAGATGACGATGATGATGAATGAAGGGGTGAGTGGGAGTGAGTGATGCGAAGGAAGAGAGGGGGTCTGGGTGAGGACTGCGCGGGGTGTCCAGAGAAAACAAGAACCCCACTTAGGATGTGGGGAAATAGTAAGAGGACGATTTTGTTCTACTATTCTTGACCGTTTTTGAATACTTTTTGCGTTTTTTGTTTTTGGTCCAGAATCCTCCTGTAGGGGGACCCGCCCGACCTAAGTCCAGACGTCGACCGCACGCGATGCCGCCCTGCCCTCGCCCGCACGGCGCCTTTTTTTGTTCGTTTCGCTTCGCCGTGGGCGGCCTCCGGCCCTTGCCCGCCGTAGCTTCACGACCGGCGAGCACGTCCGTATCCGCGCCTGCGGTTGCAAATCATGGGAGCTTTGTACACGCTAGGCATGCTTAAGAAAACTTAA